TGAAGGGGGGGTAAATAGTACTGACGCCAATGTTGGGGTTATTATTACGTCCACTGACACCAATGCTGGGGGTTATTATTCCGTCAACTGACAGCAATGCTGGGGGTTATTATTATGTCCACTGACACCAATGCTGGGGGTTATTATTCCTTCAACTGACAGCAATGCTGGGGGTTATTATTGCATCCACTGACATCAATGGCAAGGGGTATTATTGCAGTCTACTGACACCAATGGCGGGGGGTTATTATTGCAGCTACGGACACCAATGCTGGGGGTTAATATTGCATTCACGGACACCAATGTCGAGGGTTATTAATGTGCTTCCACTGACACCAATGGCGAGGGTTATTATTGAAATCAAAATCTCTATAAATCCCCCAAAGAAAAGTAAATCTTTCACCCTTGAAAGTGCAAATAACATAAACCTTTTCTATCACCTTCCCCAAAACTCAAATCACACCCCTCATTCCCAAAATATCAAAATGTCCATAATAAAGTCCAAAATCTGAAATAGTCCACACTATCCAATCTTCCAACTATGAGACAAATTTGTATATCCGATTCTTTACTCCAATCCAAGATACCTCAAAAAATATAAACTAAATATAGTGCATTATCTTTCACAATATAATATTATGTGGTATCATGCAAAAGCACTGGTGATGTAAACCATAATATGAACAATATTAAAATCAACATGTGAAGTGAATCCACACAACTCCACTAGTGATCTAGTGAAATAATCACTCCAATCCGTGAAATACAGCAAATTCAAAGTATGTGATCAGTGAAAAAGTGTACAAGACCAGATAAGTGCCACCACTCTGCGTTAGGATATCATACTATTACCCTCTTTCAACTTGCACAGGCGTTTCACAAATCCCCATATGCCAGATGGCTTTCCTCTTTCGTCACTTCCGACTTTTTCTCAAGGGATCCAGACGTCCAGACGGCGGTTCCTCTTGTCCTGCTTAGACTACTGTCAGGACAGCCCTGCCGCCATTTTATATATTATAATAGATCATTTTAATTAGGATTATTATTATTTAACAATCGTTTTATACACATATAAGGGGTAGGCATGGGCTGTGTATTTGTCTCACAGTTGGAAGATTGGATAGTGTGGACTATTTCGGATTTTGGACTTTATTATGGACATTTTGATATTTTGGGAATGAGGGGTGTGATTTGAGTTTTGGGGAAGGTGATAGAAGAGGGTTATTATTGTCCACTGACATCAAAGCTGGGGGTTATTATTGTGTCCGCTGACACCAATGCTGGGGGTTATTATTGTGTCCACTAACACCAATGTTGGGGGGTTTTATTGCTTCCACTGACACCAGTGCTGGGGGTTATTATTGCATCCACTGATACCAATGCTGGGGGTTATTATTGCATCCACTGACTCCAATGCTGGGGGTTATTATTGCATCCACTGACACCAAAGCTGGGGGTTATTATTGCATCCACTGACATCAGTGTTGGGGGTCATTATTGTGTCCACTGACACCAGTGCTGGGGGTTATTATTGCTTCCACTGACACCAATGCTGGCGGTTATTGTGTCCACTGACACCAGTTCTGGAAGTTTTCATTGCGTTCACTGACACCAGTGCTGGGTGGGGGGGTTATTATTGCATTCACTGACACCAGTGGTGGGGGTTATTATTGCTTCCACCGACACCAGTGCTGGGGTTAATTTGCACTCACTGGCACTAATACTGGGGTATTCCAGTTCTCTAAAACATGCACTAGTCACCCACATGCTTAAAAAGCCCTCACTAGACCACACCAATCTTAACAACCTACAAGACATCTAACTCCCCTTTTCCGCCAAAATCCTTGAACGCCTGGTCTACAACCAACTGAGCAACCACCTCACAGAGAATAACCTTCTTGATCCCCTTTAGTCTGGATTTCTCTCTCAGCACTCCATGGCAACTGTTCTCCTTGAACTTACATATGATCTACAAACAGCTAAAACCAATGGACACTATTCTGTACTCCTACTCCAGGACCTCTCTGCTGCCTTTGACACAGTGAAACACTCCCTCCTCCTAAAAAAAAAAAAAACTCTACTCCTTTGGTCTCTGTTACTGTGCTCTTTGTAGGTTCTCATCGTACCTATCCCACTGCACCTTCAGTGTCAGTTACAATTCTACTTCCTCTTCTCCTTTCTCCATTTGGGTTCCCCAAGGTTCTCATCTGGAACCCCTCCTATTCTCAATCTACACCTCCTCTCTGGGTCAGTTGATAGCCTCCCATGGCTTTCAATACTATTTCTATGCTGATGACACCCAAATCTATCTCTCTACCCTTCAGCTCACTCCATCAGTCTCCTCCCACATCACTAATCTACTAGCAGACATATCAGCCTGGATATCACGCTTCTTCCTGAAAATAATCTACCCAAGACAGAGCTCATAATATTTCCTCCCCTTTGTGCCCCTTCCACTGACTTTTCTGTCAAAATCAACGGCTCAACCATCAATATGTCCCCACATGCCAGGGTGCTAGGTGTAATTCTGGACTCTGAACTTTCCTTTCAGGTCCACATCCAATCACTGTCCAAAGCTTGCCACCTCAACCTCTGCAACTTCTCCAAGATACGCCCCTTCCTAACCAATGACATCACAAAGCTTCTAACTCACTTCCTGGTTATCTCCCGTCTTGACAACTGCAACTCCCTCCTCACTTGCTTACCTTTGAATAGGCTATTCCCCCTCCAGTACATCATGAATGCTGCTGCCAGACTAATCCACCTAACTGTTCAATGTCTGCCACCCCTCTTTGCCAGTCCCTCCACTGGCTCCCACTCACCCAACGAATAAAATTCAAGATACTTACAACAAACTATAAATCCATCCACAACTCAGCACCTAGTTACATCACTAACCTGGTCTCAAAATACCAACCAAATTGTTCTCTTCGTGCCTCCCAAGACCCCCTGCTCTCTAGCTCCCTTGTCACCTCCTACCATGCTTGCCTCAAGGACTTCTCCAGAGCCACTCCCATCCTCTGGAACTCCCTTCCCCAATATGTCTATCTCCATCTCTTTCCACTTTTAGACGATCCCTGAGAACTCAGCTCTTCGGGGAGGCCTATCCTGCCCCCACCTAACAACCATCAGCCCATCCCCCACAGTTATTACCTTTTGTATCTCTCGAACCTCCCTCTTAGATTGTAACTCTAACAAGCAGGGCCCTCTGAATCCTCCCGTATTAGTTTGTATCGTAATTGGACTGTCTGCCCTTATGTTGTAAAGTGCTGTGTAAACGGATGGCGCTATATAAATCCTGTACTATAGTACAGTATATTACAGTGTACATTGGGATACACTGCAAAACAATTCAGCAGGACCAACATTTTTAGACTGTGAGGTGCAAAAATATGCTGCTATTGTGTGGCATGCTGGAGGAGTCCATAGTGAAAGCCCTTTATAATTTCAGGCTGTCCACCACTGATATAGACCATAACTAGAACCTCAAAGCGTGGCTGGGTGACACCATATTCCACAATGACAGGTATAGTACACAGGGATTATAAATATAAGGTGCAGCGCTATACCTAAGTGCACTAAATAAATAAATATAAAGTGCAAAATAACTTTCAAAGTGCTCTAAATATTACCACAAGGTACTATACTTTATGTGCAAAAATACTGTGCAACCCGTGTATTACAAAAGAATACAAATAAAGTGCAATTAGTGACAAACCAAATCACTGCAACATTTGTTATACATATTAATGAATCCAAATAAATAGTTTTTTTTATAAAATAAATAAATAAAAATAGTTTTATAAAAATAGTTTTATAAAAACTATTAATAAAAACTATTTATTTGGATTCATTAATATGTATAACAAATGTTGCAGTGATTAGGTTTGTCACTAATTGCACTTTATTTGTATTATTTTGTAATACACGGGTTGCACAGTATTTTTGCACATAAAGTATAGTACCTTGTGGTAATATTTAGAGCACTTTGAAAAGTTATTTTGCACTTTATATTTATTTATTTAGTGCACTTAGGTATAGCGCTGCACCTTATATTTATATGTATTCACTCATGTTGGTAAGGAGTATTGTGTCAGCAGCTTGGTGAATAGGGCCCCATTTCTAGCGCAGGAAGTTCTTGCATTCAGTACACAGGGATTGTCTCCACTCTGTACCATGCCATGGGTCACTCCAGTCCTCTGTATTCTACTCTGCATCCTGAGTTGTTTGCTCGATGGAAGTGTGTCGGGTATAACAAGACCTTTTCTGCAGGGAGAAGGTCACACGTTCTGATCCTACAGAATACATCAAATCTGGAGGGAAGTTATTGGGTCAAAGGGGAAACGTCCTGTGTTTGATACATTGATAACCCCAGAAGTGTCTACAAATCAAAGATTGAAATCTCTAAGAGCTTGTTCACATGTGAGGCTGGGGTTGAGCTGTGTTCCTGTCTCCCAGGGGCGGACTGACCATTTGGGCGCTCGGGCACTGCCCGAGGGCCCAGGGTCAGTAGAGGGCTCCATGAGATGCCCCTAGTACCTTTCACAGGCTTTTTTTATGTTGTGGTTTGAGTGTGGGCGAAGACACAGGGGCCCCATGATCCCCTATTGCCCGTGGGCCCCATGAGTTCTCAGTCTACTCCTGCTGTCACCCCCTCCGCACCACTACCCCCTTTAGCTGCAGAGGCAGGAGTTCATACATGCATGTGGCAAGAATTACTCCGAAATTAGCACACAATGTATTGCACTGATTCTTTTAGTAAAAACATTTTACGGAATCAAATAAAATGCTGAACAATTATAGATACATGTTAGATTTTGTTCAATACATCTATGCAATTTCCTACATATATTTATTTGGGATGACAGTGCCATACTTATTGTATGGGACTTGTCTAAATGTTATAATTCTTTTTCATTGATTTACAAATTAAACAAGTTAAAGGCCAGGTTTGTGGATTAGCTGTATTTTATTAATTAATTATATGTTTCTGCCATCAGGCCATATATTCAAAACCCAGATTCCACGACTGCAGTACGCAGTGTCCCCAGTGGAGAGCAACATGGTGAGACTCACCGGTCTTGTGAAAGACATCACCAGTACATACTGCTCAAGCAGGATGGTGATTCTGTACAAACCCCAGATTGCCATCAAGGTAACCCTGACTATACAATTAAAGCTCAGTTTAAGTTTCTGTGTAACTCAGCTGTATGCATTCTACATGCACCAAAACAAATGGTGTGCAAAGTCTTTGGCTGGCCATACATTATACAATTTTCTTGAGATTTGTGGTTTAGATTTACCAAAAACCATATAATAGGAGGTCAAACCTAACAACACTTTCAATTGTATCCAATTAGACAGGCTCTTGCACTACATAGTTGAAGGTAAATCTAAAGGAAATTGGGTAGAAATTGGACAGAAAATTGAATAGTGTATGGCCAGCCTTACACTTTATTTTCTTTAAGAAGCAGCATCAGCCTGAGTAGAAATGCCTGTCCCCTGCCAGCATACTGTAGAGAAGGAGCTTGTGCTGTATGTAAAGCCTAATTTATCATCACATTTGTATAGCCTCGCGACAGCTCCACCTTAAGCTGCAAAAGGAGTGTACAAATGCCAGAGCTGCATGCTTTGCAACATGGCAGATCAAAAATTCACATTCAGTGGGAAGTACTGCCTGCTGAGCGTGACCTGCTCACGTGAATGGTGACACCCTGCAACTGTGTGCAATGTACACAGTTGCTGCTCGCTGGTGCGAGCTTCAAGGGGTTAAAACGGGCATCGAGGAGGCAATAGACCCATCTCATCATCATTTGACAAATGCCGTCTGAAGAGCAATCTGAATGCAGATCACTCTTCAGAGGTCAACACAAGTGTAAACAAGGCCTAAAAGCTGTGACCTCTGCAAATAAGTCTGAGACTTTTCATACCTTTTGTTTAGTGCACCTGGAATATATTTCAAAAGAAGGAGATGGGCATTAGGTAGGAAAACCCAGGGCACAATGCATGCTTGGAGTTCATCTCAGAACTTTGCAGATTCACTGCATCAAATTGGAGATTGGAGATGGAGAGACGACCCACAAATACTGGATGATTCCTGAGTGTCCTAGGAGGGTTGACAGAAAGGAAATTCGCCATTTGGGGACATAGAGAGCAAAAAAACCTGTAGAAGTAATGGCTGGAGAGGTTCAGGACTAGAAAGAGCTGTTAGATAGGAAGGCAGATTCCATGTCAGTTTACTGGGTGAGCATTCTCTTTTGTAGGGGTGTAGTGGCAATTTCCACAAAACCAGATAAAACTCCAGACTTGGAGTTCTGAAGGAAGCAACTAATTTATTAAAAACAGCGCTGTAGTGACCCAGCAGACGGCAAGCCGCTCTCATCTGCTAAGTGAGTTGTAGAAAACAAGCGTATATACCAATGATTATGTTACAAGGTATACATTCCTTTCCTACTTTCTATACACTCAAAAGGCTTCCTAAACTCTAAAGACAGAAACAATTGAGCACTGTCTGTGACACATTTTTTATTTGCACTAACATACAATTTTGATGACAAGCTTTCAGGTTATGTCCCCTTCTTCAAGGTCTGAGCAGTACTATTACAATATGTTTAGCAAAATGTTAGACGTAGGAGATGAGAGAAAAAAAAAAAGCAGAAAGAAGGCTACAATCACCTCAAGTAAACTCTAAAGAATAACCTTGAGCAGCAACTAGAGATAAGAAAATACCAGCTGCAAACCCCTACACAGGAAATAAGGGAGGGGGGAAGATGAGCCAAAAACCTTTCTTCTACAAACACAGGCTGCTAGAAATGTTAGAGTTTAAAGGGGAACTCTAAAACATCTGGGTCCTACCATAGGGGGACCATTGAAGGGTTCACTCTGAGTACTACAAGAAGTATAAACTGACTCTTATTGCATGATATACAGTTTTTCATTTTAGAGCATTGGTCAGAAAAAAATGGCAAACACACATTAGGGAAATGACACCCCTTTTCTTGGAGGCTGCTGGATTTTGTTTTAATTTGCAGACTTCAGTTGAATTTGGGCATTTATGTCTATCTTTGGGTGTTCACAACATTACCTAAAAGTTAACCTATCCATTCAGCTGGATGATCTTTTCATTTCAGTCTGCAGACTCTGTAATTTTTAAAACTGTCCAAAATTTCAAATGGCATGTTTTTTTGCAATATGACATTCTATGGTGATCTGTACACAATGCCTCCAAAAATCTAACCCTTCCTTACCCGAGCCAAAAGAAGAAAATGCTGCTTTGGCTGGAGTTGCATTTATAACTCTGTTTTGAATAGAGAGAGGAAGAATAAAAATGAATATTTGTCATCCCAGTGGGAAGATTTTGCCTTACTTCTTGTTCCTGTGACACCCATACAAAAAAAATTGGGGGTGCAGTTGTCACCAGGACAGGAAGGCATACACCGCAATAAAAGCACAGAAAGTCTAACCATACCTTGTTGTACTGAAAATGTGTTTTGTTTTTGTCTGCGTCCCTGTTGGGAGAGATATGCCATCAATGTATGTGCTGACAGGAAGTGAAGGTAAATCTCTCCTACTGGAATATACACAGCCATAATAATCCAGTGGAGGCTCTGATCATTCCCATACCAAAACAATTCAAAAAGCTGGAGTCAGACTTTAATGTTTGTGACAAATATATTTGTATCACTTTTACAGATGCCAGAAGAAGCACCGCTGTACAAGCCTATAACAGCCATAATCACAATCACAAACCCCCTTGACAAGCAGCTAGAAGACTGCACTGTAACAGTGTCTGGAGAAGGCCTTATACACAAAGAGAGATCCTACAAGTGAGTATTTCCGGATGACAATAAAATCTAAATACGGGCAAAAATCAGTCACTTTCATAAAACTTGCTACATGAACCAGACAATCCATCTCATTGTATAATGCCAGGACATTCAGGGGGAGATTTACTAAAACTGGAGAACTCAGAATCTAGTGCAGTGGTGCATGGCAGCCAATCAGCTTCTAAGTTCAGTTTGTTCAATTAATACTCAAAAACATGAATAGAAAAAAAAAAATACAAAACATGTATAAACAAAAAATAATGGTCAGACTCAATGGACCACTCAGTCTCTTTTTCTGCCATCACGTTTCTATGTTTCTAACTAAGCTTGACAATAAAACCAGGAAGCTGATTGCTTTCTGTGCAGAGCTGCACCACATTTGCATTCTCCAGCTTTAGTAAATCTCTCAGTGTCATGATGAGAAATAACAGGACAGCACTGACACTTGGGGTACAAGAGAGTACTCAGCCCTTGTGTAAGCTCTAAATTGCAACTGGGAGCTTACACACAGCTTCCTTTTTTCACTCCCGATGATGGACCAAGGGATAAAAAGGAAAGCTGAACTTCAGACAAACGATACACAACAAATGCATACAGGATATGGGAACAGACTTTACAATCTTGCCAGGGACCCATCCTTGCCCATGATTGAAGGAACAGTACATGGTTGGGATGATTATCCCTGCGCTCTTTTTCTGTAAGTGCATTCACATGTCTACTGTGATAAGTAACGCCCTGATTGGCTCATGCTGCTTGCCCCTCCCTCTCCCAGTATGTTCTGCATGTGATCACAGGAGGTGAATATTAAGACCAGGTACTAATATTAGTTATTAATTACAGGTATTTATATAATGCTGACAATGTATGCAGCTCTTTATATCGATTGTGCATTCACATCAGTCCCTGCCCTCGAGGATCTTATAATCTAAGGTCCCTGACTCCTATTCATACATCAGTCCCTGCTCTTGAGGAGTTTATAATCTAAGGTCCCTGACTCCTATTCATACATCAGTCCCTGCCCTCGAGGAGCTTATAATCTAAAGTCCCTAACTCATGTTCATACATCAGTTTCTGCCCTCGAGGAGCTTATAATCTAAGGTCCCTGACTCCTATTCATACATCAGTCCATGGCCTCGAAGAGTTTATAATCTAAAGTCCCTGACTCCTATTTATACAGCAGTCCCTGCTCTCGAGGAGTTTATAATCTAAGGTCCCTGACTCCTATTCATACAGCAGTCCCTGCTCTTGAGTTTATAATCTAAGGTCCCTGACTCCTATTCATACATCAGTCCCTGCCCTCGAGGAGTTTATAATCTAAGGTCCCTGACTCCTATTCATACATCAGTCCCTGCCCTCGAGGAGCTTATAATCTAAGGGCCCCGACTCCTATTCATACATCAGTCTCTTCCCTCGAGGAGTTTATAATCTAAAGTCCCTAACTCATATTCATACATCAGTCCCTGCCCTTGAGGAGCTTATAATCTAAGGTCCCTGACTCCTATTCATACATCAGTCCCTGCCCTTGAGGAGATTATAATCTAAGGTCCCTGACTCCTATTCATACATCAGTCCCTGCCCTCGAGGAGTTTATAATCTAAGGTCCCTGACTCCTATTCATACATCAGTCCCTGCCCTTGAGGAGATTATAATCTAAGGTCCCTAACTCTTATTCATACATCAGTCCATGGCCTCGAACAGTTTATAATCTAAAGTCCCTGACTCCTATTCATACAGCAGTCCCTGCTCTCGAGGAGTTTATCTAAGGTCCCTGACTCCTATTCATACATCAGTCCCTGCTCTTGAGGAGTTTATAATCTAAGGTCCCCGACTCCTATTCATACATCAGTCCCTGCCCTCGAGGAGTTTATAATCTGAGGACCCTAACTCCTATTCATTCATACACATACTAGGGCCAATTTAGGAAGGGGCCACTTAACCTACCTGTGTGGGAGGGAACCAGGATACCCGAAGGAAGCCCACACAAGTGCAGAGAGAAATGAAAACTCCAGGCAGGTAGAGTTGTGATTGGGACTCAAACCAATGATCCTGGTACTGCAAGGCTGAAGTACTAACCACTAAGCCACTGTGCAGCCCCAGTTACAGTACATAATATTTGTAATGACTAATACCCTATTAAAAGTGACTGTAAGGCTTTTTTTTTTATTTTATTAAAATAAACACATCATACTTGCCTGCTCTGTGCAATGATTTTGCACAGAGCAGCCCCAATCCTCCGCTTCCCAGGTCCCACGCTCCATCCCCATGCACTCATGTATGCTTGCTCTCGAACCCTGCTCTGTGTGTCCATAAGACACACAGGAGCAGGTCTAGGCCCCGCCCACCCCACGACTCTGGCTCTGATTGACAGCAGCGAGAGCCAATGAGAGGCGAGAGAAACGCAGCTCTCATGCACATTGCTGGATCGAGATTGGGTTCAGGTATAAATTTAGGTAGACTGCGGGGACAGCTGCATACAGAAGATTTTTTATCTTCATGCATAGAATGCAATAAAGTAAAAAAAACTTCCGTCTTAAACACTTTAAATATTATTTTCTTCATATATGACTGGAATTCAGAGTAAACACAGCAAGCCTTGAGCTAAATGTACCCTTTATCTTCATTACAGATGTGATAACATTGACCCAGGAAGTGAAAGAGATTGCCGCATCAGCTTTTCTCCAACTCAAACAGGTCTGCTGAAATTTTGCATGAAATTCAACTGCAGGCAGTTCAGAGAAGTAACACGGTGCCAGAGTGTGGAGGTCCAGCCATTTAAATTATTCTTCACCAAGTGAAGAGGAAAAGTAATTTATTCAAAAAAACACAAGCAAGTCCCAAAAATAAATATTGTACAAACGTTCAGGACTAGGCTACAGGCCACAAACAAATCAGTGACATCCAAATAGCCAACTATGTGCTTCCTACTGAACTGTTGGATTTTACTGCCATATGGAATTAAAAGTGGATGTCAATCCAGAACTTCTAGAAGGAGGGGGTAGGGTTAGACTTTGGAGTTTTTGCCACCGGCTAGGTTTTTCTAGGGAAATATTTCTCCACTTCCTGATACATGATACCAGTCTACGAGACAGGAAGTAAGGAAAATTTAGCAAAATGTGACAATGCAACAAAAATCTGAGACCTGAACCTACTATTAATGTGGGTTTACTGTTGTCTGGATCTCCGCTGGAGATACCTCCCTTCATTTCCTGTCCCTAGCAGCACTAGAAACCAGGATGTGTAGAGAAATCTTCCCATCAGTGGGGACAGCAATAAAAAAAAAACAAAAAAAAAAACCTGACAGATTCTAACTCTACACTAAGAGATTCAAATAGATTAACAGTATCAATGCAATTTTCTGACCCTGGCTCAGTACTGTAAAGCCAAATCCTGCCAAAACCTTTTTTTTAGATTTGGATAAACCTGGGAAGATAGTGTTTTTTTTAGTTTATATTGCTGTCTGTGACTCCATTAGGGACGTATTTTATTAGCGTGGGATGAAATGACATTTCAACTTTTATTAAATCAAACGTGTCATTAGAAAAAAAAAAAAAAAAAAAATCAAGCTAAACCCATAATTAAGCTATGGGCATCAAATTAATTACATTATTATTGCAGGTACTTATATATCGCCGTCAATTTCCGCAGTGCTTCACGTATATATTTTACATTCACATCAGTCCTTAACCCTCAAGCGGCGTACAATCTAAGGTCCCTAACTCACATTTATACATACTAGAGCCAATTTAGACAGGAGCCAATTCACCTACCAGCATCTTTGGAATTACATGTGCCTGATGAACAAAAATACCTCTCAAGCAAGCTATCCCTAATTCCAAACTGTTCGAACACTGAGCAGTAATTCAATTGGTATTGCACCCCTAAAGATGCATTCACATTGTCTGGCTGGCTTGCTATATACCTGCTCATCCCCCCTGCCAGCTGTGAGTCTGCAGAATCTCAGTCCGCTTATAATCTTCACAAATCTCCTTGACACCCTTTGGAATGTAAATAGCACCTGTGATCTGTTCTGGCTACATAATATGCCAAATGTTGGAGGATTCTTGCTAAATTGGATGAAGTTTGAATCATGCATTGCCGTTTGGCCCCACCAGGCTCAGCAAATTTAACAGAAAATAACAAAGGCGCTGGCTGGAAAACTGTCTGCTGAACAGTGACTATATCCTATCAGAAATCTGTGTTAATGGCTACTTAGAACCAAGGGCAGAATAAAAGGACAGTCACAACATTCAGTGAGAGTGGATAGTGACTTAAATTTATCACCAGACTTGGAGTCTCCTAGAGAAATGCAATATGGCGGTGCTAGAAGAGCCTAATGCATATATTTGCTTTATAGTGCCCAGACTACAGACATTAAACCTCTTCATGCCCACTCCTGGCAGCCTTTTAACTGGGTCTTAACACCAGAAGCTGGGGTGCACTTTCCAAGCACATGAACATGGTGATTGGCTGTGACAGTAATCACATGATCAGGAACCCACCTACCCCGATTTCACAGACTGGGAGCAGTCTCTGATGGCTCCTTTATCCACTCTGGATGAAGGAGCACAGGGGTTCCTTTGGACAGCAGCATTGTCAGTCTGGGGGGAGGGAACTGTTAGATGTACTAGCATACTTAGACACACTAACAAATTGAAGCTGAACTCCGTCATAAGCAGTTGTAGCAACAGTTTTATTTTCCTTTTGGGATAAAGATTTTACATGAATAAAAGCTGATCCTTTTAAATATAAAAACCAGACATACTGGCCAGATCACCATGTTAAAATAAAGAAAAGAGAACCTAAAAAAAAAAAAACGAATGCAGCCATTACATCAAGGAATTGGTACGAGGCAATATAATAAATGTATGCTCTTGGGTTTATTACTGCTTTAAATTCTACTGCTCAGATTTTTATGTGGACAAGTGCACACAGGATCCCCTGGTGAAATTATTTTTTTTTTCCGTCTGGTGATAGTCCTCCTTTTAACAAGTACACATTCATTCTAGCCATATGGTCTTTTTATGTGGATAAGCATTACATTTGTGATGTGGTATGGGTTGGCTTTTAATAAACAATCTTTGCAGGTAAATTGAGTTTTATTTGTCTTGGTTAAGGTTTCTTGTCTTGGTTAAGGTTATCCCTTTTGTTACTGTATTTCTTCTATTCAGTGAGCCTGGTAGGTGTGATGCAAATGAGTTTACTTTGAGATACTCTCAACAAACTATGAGCATATGATCATATAGAGCCACTATTTTATTTTCATTATGATCCATTTCCACACTTGGAGGATGTTACCATTTGTACCAATAACTATTTTTCCTTAAAGTGAATCTGTATTTTACCCATACTGTGTACAGGAAGTATGCTTTAGAGGAGGTTCCTCAGCACTTATTTACCTTTCCTGCACTCTCCCATTGCCCTGATCAACAGCCTGAAAGTCCTGCATACGTTTTACTTAGCTGAATCATACGAACTGTAGAATAACAGGAGTGTCATGTGTTTTCCTCTGTGCTTAAAATACTGGTGAAGTAGCTGGATTACTGGTAAAAGCTATCAGCCCTTTGAAACATTTGAAGCTAAAAGTTTTCCAAAGAGCAGGAAGCACATGGTTTATTACCTACATTATGTTGAAAGCCTTCCCTTGTGCACCCTGATCTTGGGTTAACTTTGCTACTGGTGGCCTCACTTCTTTGCCTTGGGCGATATTGTGCATACACTATCCCAATACCCAGTAGACAGGAGGTATTAGGCTGCTATGATTGGATACTGGGTGGGCAAGGCTTACTGTAGCTCCAAAGCTGGAGAGGTCCAGTGACCCAACTGGAGGGATTCCAGGTCCATAGTGGTAACAGCATGTACACTGCAGTTCTTGCTCTTTGGACTTCTAAATGAGAGTCTAGAAGAACTCTGGAGTTTTCATAATAAATGGTAGCAGTGGAGGGATTGAATGTTAAAATGAATAAATCAGAAGGTTAAAAAATAAATATTTTATTTGATATTACATAAACCAATATTAGCTGCATAGATACATTACAAGCCAAATGCACTTCTAAATATATTTGATGTAGTTGTCCAGTATGGCTATCATGTCTCACACCGCTGCTGCTTAATCATGAAGTCGTGAAAAGAAGAATCAACCAACACATATGTGTAAACTATCACCAATGTTCAAAGACTTAACAATGAAGTCCTGCTTAATTAAACCTGTACTGGTAAAAATAAATAGGATGTCATTGCTGTCTTCTACGAGTTTCTTGGAAGTCAAGCCAATGCACTGTCTTCAATGCTTTCTGAGTCAACGACCTGAAACAGTTATGCAGACTATACCCAATCAAAATCTCATATATGCTTTAAAATAGCAATGTAATTTCAAGAGTTGTTTTCAATCCTATTAAATTTGAAGCTTGTATTAAAATGATACCCAGTGATCCTCCCATGAAGGTCCTTCCTGCTTTAACCACTTGCCGACCGCACATAGCTGAATGACAGCTTCACTGCGGCTGGCCAGTTCTGGGTGGACGTCATAAAAACATCCTTCTAGAATGCTCTCTCTGCCCCGAGGGCGCATACCCGGCTATTCCCATGATCGCTGTGTCCTACGGACACAGCTGATCACGTAGTATGGTAAAAGGCCAATCACAGCGGCTTTTTATCACATGATCAGCCGTGTCCAATGACACACTGATCACCATGAAATGCAATTGCTGGTTATCGGCTGCACTTTCCTCATGCTGTCACAGCGTGAGGAAAGTACTGCCAAGAAGCGGCAGTTGTCAGAGGAGGGATCGGCACCGATCATCAGTGCCCTGATGATCGGTGCCCACCAGTGCCAACCACCTGTGCCCACCAGTGCCACCTGTGCCATTCATCAGTGCCCAGTAGTGTCGCCAGTCAGTGCCATCAGTCACTGCCACCCAGCAGTGCTGCCAGTCAGTGCCCATCATCAGTGCCAGCCCATCAGTGCTGTCTATCAGTGCAGCCTCATCAACGCACATCAGTGAAGTAGAAAAATTACCTGTTTGCAAAATTATATAATAGAAACAAAGAAAAAAAAAAACGGGGTTTTTTTCAAATTTTTTGCTCTTTTTTTGTTTATAGCACAAAAATAAAACACCCAGCGGCGAGTACATTTCATATGGGTACAGTGTTGCATGACTGCGCAATTGTCATTCAAAGTGCAACAGCACTGAAAGCTGAAAATTGGCCTGGTAAGGAAGGGGTACAAGTGCCAGGTAGGAAAGTGGTTAAAGTGACAGCTGGCTCCCAGTTTTGCCAATGAAGAAGCTAGTCTACAGCAATGGTGTGCAGCTGATGCTGTGAAAAAAGAATGTAGACAGGAAATAGCCGAAGGAGGCATGTGTTCGAATGAGATGCCAAAAAGGCATAAACTGTATTTTATGAAAGAAAAGAAAATATTGTTTCTGATACACACTGCTTTAGCAAACTGCCACCTATTTAAGGTTTAGATCTACTTTGACTGCATGTTTGTTCCAGGTCAGTGACTCAGAAGGCATTGAAGCCAAAGACAGCAAGAAAGACATACTTTTCAGCAGAAAGCCAATAATGGCAGCCTGTACATTTCTATCCACATTTAAAAATTTATTATTTTAAATAACTGGAAGCAAATCTGCCTGCACTGCATCTGCAAGGTTTCTTCCAACAATCCCCTGCATAAAAGAAATGAGGTTGAGTAATGCACTTTGAGCCAAATCACTGCAGCTGTTGCAACGTTTTTGCATTAGACAGTGCTGCCAATCTTACATGCTCTGAAGCACCAGGAGCTTTAAGGGAGAGA